GGGGGGGGGGGGCCTCCCCTCTGCTTCCCTGCCCCCACCTGCCCCCACTGTCCTTCCAAACAAACAAGAGGGACAGGTCATGGCTCCTGAGGAAATCCCTGGTAGAAACAGGCACCCTGGGCTCAGCTCATGACCCCTCTTCACCTGGGCCAGGTGGCGGGAGTCGTGCATGAGGGCGCACAGCTCTCTGGGGACTCGGGAGAGCAGAGAATTTCTCCGAGGACAGCAAAGCGAGCAGCCCCTCCACGGTCGGGTACCAGCATGTCAGAGAGGTCACGTGTCCTGCTGCCGTCAGACCAGGGACACCTGTCCCCACAGCTTGGGGGGTGGGGGCCAGGAGGCAGGCGGGGCCAGTTCTCCCTACACACTGCCGAAGTGCGGACTGTCCCCCTGCTCCAGGCCGACCAGCTGGCCCAACGGGGCAGAGCGACACCCCCAACCCAATCGAGAGAGGAGCGGAAGCCTGAGGTAGGCGCCCGAGGCTGCGTGTGAGCCCTGGCACGTCCTCCCCGGTGATGCGGGAACAGCATTTTCTCCAACAAAACCATTCCCTTCAAATCCACGTGCTGGCAAATCTTGGACCTCGTGCCCTCCCGCCCCGCCACCCCCACCCCCCTGCGGGACCCCGGGACCCAGACGGCCAAGGTGGAATGACTCCCGCTTTCTCGACACATCACGTGTGGACTGTCACAGGCTACAAGTAAAAAGGAGAAAGCTTCCCGCACATCTTCTGCTTTCAGATGTCAGGACAGGCTTGGACAGTGACCGGCACGTCAAGGCCGGGCTCAGTCTGTCTCGTTTCCTTCTTGCACAGAATGTACTTGTGCCGGCTCACGGGGCCTGCTGGGCATGGCTGGGCTCCTGGAGCCCCTGCCAGGAGCATGTGACGTTCCGGCCCTGGTGGCCTTTGTGTGACCACGGGGCATGGGGTGAAGGCTCCGGCAGAGGCTTGCACAGGCTGCGCTCAGCTGCGTGGTCTCCCGAAAGGTTCCTCTCCTGCCAGCCCTGCAAAGGCCGCTGGGGGTGCCAGTCGGGGCCCCAGACACGCGAAGCCCCTGCATGGCCAGAGAGGGCTCATCACGCAATGCGACATGCTTATGTAAGAAGCTGAAAGCGAAATCCCCACCTGGAGCCGTGTCCACATTCCCACCAGCACGTGGAGGTAGGGAGGGTGTCCCCGTGGTGCCCACATGACCGCTGCAGTGGCCTCTCTGCCCCGGGAGAGCACTCCCACGCCACAGCTGTGGCCTCCTGGGACAATCACCTCATTGAACGAGGAGCAGAGAAAAGGCTTTTGTCCTGGCCTCAGAAGGGGCCAGGGCGCAGGATTCCTCTGGGCAGCGCTTTCTCCATCCTGGGCCGGGATGCACCAGTGATCCAGTCCCTCCCAGTCTGCGAGTGCCAACAGCACTCCTGCCTAACCCACGCGGCTCCCCAGCGCAGGGCAGTCAAGTGAATCGAGCCCAACAGCCTCGGTACCAGGCAGGAAAACAGGAGGGACTCCCCCACCCCACGACTTCATCAGACCTTACCCCGCATGGCAGGTGGGGATCAGGGTGCCGAGGCGGTTTGTGCGCAGGGAGGGGTTGGTGAGCCCTCTGCTGGCGTTCTTCTTGGCTCAACTGGCAGGTAAGCCCCACAAGAGGTCAAGAGGAGTGTGTGCAAGTGGGAAGAAGGATTCCCCAGAGACCAAGGGTGCCATCTTGAGACAAGCCCCCCAAGACCCTGCCCTTTACCCCAACTCTGCAGAAGGAAGTGATGGACAGTAATTCACACGGTGGCCTACACCCTCTCATTTCATCCCTGAGATGGCAGCACCGTCCCCTTTAACAGATGAGAACACTGAGGCACAGAGTGGAAAGCGGCCCCTGGAAAGGGGGCGGGGGGGGGGG